ATGGGTCAGAACCTACTCAACAGCACTTAACAACAACATATACTTAGCTTAGGGTCACTAAGAGTCAGAATGGATTCTATGACATCTAACAACTGGCTTCCCAGAAAATTCTACCAAATTTGAAAACTGCAGAGATATATATCTTTTTTCCCGGAAAAAATTAAAAGAACTAGTTGATTTTCAAATGCAATGTATTCTGATTCATACCTACTGATGATTATAGTTCATTCCTGAAAAATAAGTAGTGATTGTACAAAAGGTCTGAGGAGCCCAGTGATGACAAGGAGATTTGTTTTGAAGCATGATGACTTCACTCTATGATGTTTGATGCCAACTTTATGCTGCCCAACAAGTGACTTTATTTCCTCCCCCCACCTATTGGGATGAACCTTATAACAAGACATGCCACCCTGTTTCATGTGTAGAATTCTGGAACATTATGTTGTACAGCCATCAGCGTGCTCTGTCTCCCAGTCTGTCCATCACCATCCCCAGAGTGTCACTGTGCCCTCAGCAGTGTCTCCCCATTTCTATGTCCCTTCCCTGCTAACCACTGGTGAACTTTGACACCTGTGCACTTGCCTGTTCTAACCATCTCATAGACATGGGATCGTACACCATTTATCCTTTTATGTGTGACTGAGTTCACTCAGCACAATGTTCCCCAGGTCCATCCATGTATTTCTCTTTGCGGCTGAGTTCATAGCCCGTTGTCTGTCTGAACAGCATTTTGTGTATCCATTCATCTGTAATGACACGACACTTGGGGTGTTGCACCATGGGGCCACTGTGAACAGGGCTGCTGTGGGTATCAGTACACAAGTGTCTGTTTGCATTTCTGCTTTCAAGACTTTGGGGTACATTCTAGGAGTGGAATTGCTGGGCCACAGGGTAAGTCTTTGTTTAACTTCTGGGGAAACTGCTAGACCTTACAAGGACACTTTTAACCACCTTTCCCCCTCTTTCCACCTCAGGAGTTTTTCAGTCAGCTTGACCAGAGGGTGCTCAATGCTTTCCTGAAAGCCTGTGACGAGCTCACGGACATCCTCCCTGAGCAGGAGCAGCAGGGACTCCAGGATGCCGTCAGGAAACTCCATAAACAATGGAAGGTGGGTCTGGGTCATCGGAACGTCAAGGAAGAAAGCGGGAAAAAGGTGGTAAGGCTGAACTGTAAGAGCATCACCCTAGCTACTCCTCCCAATTCAAAGCCATCCTGACTTGAATCTTGAATAAAACATGGCACAGTTTGTTAGATTTTGTTATTCCTATTTTGTTGATGCAATCCATTTTCTGATATGATCTAAGAGTAGATTTTGTTATTGTCATTTCCTGACTCGTTTGTCATTTCACCCATTCAGCAATATTTAGCTAACTCTCCTCATATGAAGAAATTCTGTGGGGAAGATCACTGAAATTAACAAAAGAAAACAAAAAGGTTTCTGTTCATAGGAGTTTACAATCTAACTCCGTAGATAATTATGATCCTACATAAATAAAAACATAGTCCAAGGATTTAATGATGAACAAAACATAGTTGTTTCCCTCCTAAGAGCTTAGAGATAATTGGTTACAAATAATAAAAGTATGATTTATAATGATAAGCTCCAAATAAAGTAACACAAGGGTGCTTCAAAAATTTGTAGGAAAAAATTGGATTTAAAGGTTATTTGATTTTTTTCTTGGGGGGTTGCCCCCTTGTATTTATGAAAACTCGGAGAGAGGGATGGGGTGCACTTGGATTTGGAGACGAGCTAATAAAACAATCCTTCTGAAGCTAGGACTTAAGGAAGCAGCAAATCGAGGAATGTGTAGGAGAACAAAACATAGCAAGCAGAAAAAAGTATGAGTATATGACAGTCAGGCATACAGGTGTCCCGTCTGCTGAAACCCACGTGATGGGCATCTGCTCTGGGAGAATCCCAAGACACGAGGCAGACTTCAGAATTCCACGTCACGGAAGTCTTGTCCTATAATGGAGACCCTGCGGAAGGCTGTCTTCCTGGAGCCGAATGATAGGAAGAGCACTTAAAACCAAATGAAAACCTCTACAGTTGCCTTCAAGTTGACATTGACTCATGGTGACCCCACACCCCCAAGCCATTTTCAATGGTTGCTTTTTTGTAAGTAGATCACCAGGCCTTTCTTCTGAAGCACTGCGAGCTGGACTCAAGCCTCCAGCCTTTCAGTGAGCAGCCAAGCATGTTAATCGTTTGCACCCCCTGGGAACTCCCAAGATTACTGTCTTGTTGTAGTTAAGTGCTGTTGAGTTGCTCTGACTCACAGAGACCCTGTATAGGGTTTCCATGGAGCATCTGGAACCTTAAGGTTAGCAGTTCAGTGTTTATCTTACAGCACCATACCAAGACTCCCAGATGACTCTAGCAGCGGATTAGGAGCCGGCTTATATGGAGTGACATAGTTCCCATGGAGGAGTGGGGAGGGTCAGAACGTGGGCCACTAAAATTCTCTCCGTCTCTTGTGCTATTTATTGGCTTTCTGGACCATAACCAGGCAGGCTGAAAAACAACCAGCCTTGTGCCTAGAGGAGACACAATTAAATAAATATAGTTTTACTTACTAAATTTGAAATTTTAAATGTTCTTGTTTATTTTTTTTTTTCCCCCACAAAGAAATCTGAGTTTCTAAAGATGTTGCTGTAGCTTAACGTAACGTTCCCTTTCTGTGAGGCTACCTTGAACATTACATAGAACACTCACTCTGAAAACACCTGACCACAGACCAGGAAAGGCCTGGTGCAGACAGTTCTCACTGACCCTATTGTTATAAGGTGTTGTTGAGTCGGTTCTGACTTACACCAACCCTGTGCACAACAGAACCAAACACCGCCGATCCTATACCATCCTCACAATTGTTACGCTTGAGCCCATTACTGCTACCGCTGTGTCATCCCATCTCATTGGGGGTCTTTTTCTCTTTTTCACTAGCCCTCCACTTTACCCAGCATTATGTCTTTCTTCAGAGACTGATTTTCTCCTGACCACAGGTCCAAAGTACTAGAGACAAAGTCTCACCATTCTGGGTTCTAAGGCGCATTCTGGCTGTACTTCTTCCAAAACAGACTTCTTTGTTCTTTTGGCAGTCCATGGTACTTTCAATATTCTTCTCTGCAAAAACAGTATGGGATCCATGTCTGACTTCCTCTGGCTTCACAAGGTAGAAGGGGAATCAAACCGAAGGCTGACTCCTGTGAAGCAGAGGTCAGACATGCCTCCACCCGACAACCTTCTCTACGCTCTTCTGACCCCCAGCCATCCCTCTGACAGCACTCACCACTTCACAGCTGGGTTCGATAATCCATTGCCACACTGAACTCACTGAACAATACTTATGACTATGGGGTTTATGAGGGAAGTGAACAGGGTACAATTTGGGATCAGAAATAATTCAGGACATGGCAGTTTTCCAGTCAGGAATGCCTCGTCTCTGCTTTACTGCAGGCACGTCACATTCTAGCCTTCGACTCTCAGCCAGGTGGGCCCCTGGGCCTCTGCCCTGCAGGGCAAGTGTTACAAAGCTCCTTTAGTCAGTCTGTAAGTACCCAAAGAGCACATCAGCAAGTCAGCCTTCCGCCTGTAGGCACTCTGCTTAACTCTGCTCCTGGGCTAGAAACTTGCAGCTGCTCTGTCTCTCCATGCCACCACCCCTGCCACTATCTCTGCTTTTCTAGATAGGGACCCCATGCTCTTCTTTCTTGATGGTCCTGGATTCCTCATTCCTGCTTCTGAAGTGGCTCTTTTTAAACCTAACGGGATTCAAAATCAACCAATCCCAGTGTTAGAGCCCTGTATACCCTATTTGCATGGCTCCTCCTAATCATGGTGGAATGAAGAAGACATTGAATAGAGAAGCAGTATCAGGTACATTCAAGGTACCACATTGTCCAACACCATCATTCAAATGCATAAACTCCTCTCTGGTCTTCCTTGTTCTTTGTCCAACTTTCACATGCGTATGAGACAACTGAAATACCATAGCTGGGGTCAGGCACACCTTAGTCACTACACTGATGATGTCTTTGTTCTTTAACACTTTGTCCCTAAAGGAAAATTTTTAAAAATTTCATCACTTGGAAATACATAACCAGGCACATTTTTCTGAATCTTCCTATGGGATGTAGGATCTTCAAGGAGAAGCCCCATATCATTTGCTTCATCTGAAGATTGATGTGGAGAAAAAGAGATTCTTGGCCTCCATAGAAGAATGCAGAACTGAGCTGGATCGAGAGATCAAGCTGGTGTCCCAAGAAGGCAGTGAGAAGATGATTAAAGAGCACAGGGTATGTCTGCCCGAGTGAGGACTCATGTGATTTATTCCAAGGCTGCACTTGATTGTTTAAGATCTGAAAACATGCAATAACTTAATTTCTTTCTATGGGACCCTCCCTTGGATTTTTTCTATTAAAACGTAAGAGCATTGGATGGCTTCTCACAGAGGTTTCAACAATGTGTTTTGCTCATTAGATTTTCTTCAGTGACAAAGGTCTTCATCATCTTTGTGAGAAGAGATTGCAGCACATTGAGGAACTGTGTCTCAAGCTGCCCGCGAGGGACCCCATGAGGAGTACTCCTGAGACGTGCCACACAATGCTTAGAGAGCTCAGAGTGGCCATCGACCGGACCTACGGCGAGCTCATGGAAGACCCAGACAAATGGAAGGAATACACCGGCAGGTAGTTCCAACTTTGCCTCCAGAGTGGGAGACCAGTTGATCTGAATATTCTGTTATTGTTGAAGACCACTGTTATGTTGTTGCCTCTGAGGTGACTCTGATTCACAGCGAACCTAAGGGCAGAGTAGAACTGCCCCATAGGGTTTCCAAAGCTATAATCTTTACTGAAGCAGATGTCTCCTGTAGAGTTGCTGGTGGGTTGAACCACCAACTTTTAGGTTAGCATGTGCGTGTTTAACCACTGTGCCACCAGGGATACCCATTTCATTGTATGCAATAAAGAAAACCAGATTGTATGATTTTGCTCAGGGTCTTATACAAAAATACTTCATTCACTAAAGAGACTGGTTTTCAGTCAGAAACAGGGTGAGGAGGAACTTCATTTCCAGAGGACCTAGATGATGTTCTCTCTTGGAGGCAGAATTGGGTCAAGTCTTTTCTTCTAGTGCTCTTGGGACAAATCCTTTCTTCTCAATTCCCTTAGGTCCCTAAGTGGGAGCGTCCTCCTCTTTAAGTTAGTGCTTCACATTGGTGGGGACAGGGGAGGCCAGTGTCCAGGGGTACCTTCCTTAGACCCAGGGGCTCAGGCTAGTCAAGTTCTGGAACACATATCTTCCCCTTGCCCACTCTTCTTTCTCTTCTCTCCAAGCAGTGGAGCCCAGTGGCAGCCACCCTGCAGTTTAAAGACCAGTTTCCTTAAACTCTGTTAATCCACTTGATATTTTGATTGTTACATTTCCATGAGTCAATTCAGACTAGAGTATGTATTTAATTTAACCATCCTAAATTTGTTCTCCCTATAAGAAAACAGCAAAACAAAAAACTCCCTATAATTTGTTCTCCCTATGACAAACAACAACAACAAAAACAAAAAACAAAACTTGTGTATATTTCAGATTTTCTGAGTTTTCTTCTTGGATATCTGCAAAGGAGACCCTGTTGAAGGAGATTAAGGATGGGGTCTTGGATACTGCCAACCATGGAGAGGTCCAAAGCACTGTAGAGGTGAGTTATGGGCCCCAGTTTTATGTTACTGGAAAATCTTCAGTCATTAAAAAGGATTTCTGGTGTGGCATTATAAGACAAACACTGGGCTGCTATGCTAATCATAAGGTCAGCGGTTCAAATCCACCAGCCACTCCTCAGAAATCCTCTAAAGAACAGACTCAACAGCATTTAACAACAACAAAAAATAATGATGCACAATCGAATTCTTGTCTACCTACCTATCTTAAAAAAACAAAAAAGAGCAGGAAATAGTGTTAAAAATAATTCTCCTCATACTGTGGAGAACTCACAGTAGGTTTGATTGGCTTTTTTTTTTTTTTTTTTTCTATTTAATTGTTGGTAGCTTTGAAATTGAATTAAGTTCATGGTTCCTCTAGTACATTTTGAACTAATGTGGACTCCTGACAGGAAAATTGCATGCATGGACGTAAGGCACAGCAGATATTGAAGAACTACCACAGAACACAGGACTAGGTCTTAAACAATCAGTGTTCAGTCCTTCAAAAGATCAGCCCACAGAAAAGTCAACGAGATAGGCAAGGTCTCTGGGCAACCATTCTTCTTCAAGTTCAGCCTGGTGATTACATCAGCCTCTGGTAAAGCCATCCAGGCCAACAGAGCTTAGACTGATATCAGCCAGCATTCTATTCTCTCTCTCTCTTGACTCAGAACTTTCTAGACATTTAGAAAAAGAAAAATGTCTTATCTTTCAGCATTTTTATCGCTTGCAAGTCACATAATTGCAATTAATGAGAATATATTTCTATTTTGCTCTTATCTTGTTGTTGTTGTTGTTAAGTGCCTTCGAGTCAGTTCTGACCCATAGTGACCCTGTATAGGGTTTCCGAGGAGCAGCTGATGAGCTTGAACCGCCAACCCTTCAGTTCAAACAGCTTTGCAGCCTGGCGCATTGACCCACGGTGCCACACCTTTTTTTCCTTATTAACATATTAACAACAGTAACATTTACAAATGTAGAAGCGTTCCTTGGATGGTGTAAACAGCACACTTGGCTGCTGATTGAAGGGTTAGAAGTTTGAGTCCACTTAGAGGCACTGTCTGAAAAATCAGCCCTTGGAAACGTTATGGAGTAGAGGTGTACTCTGAAACACATGGGCTGGAATTGACTTGATGGCAACTGCTTTGATTCCATATATAACAACATGCTATAGAGGGATGGAAGGAGCTCTGGTAGCGAAGTGGTTACAAACTGGGCTGCGAACTGCAAAGTCAGCAATTTGAAACTACCAGCTGTTCTG